GCCTCGGCTACAGCTAACACCTAATGCTTCTGAGGAAGGTGAAGAAAAAGCCTAATGCCTGTAGCAACAGGAGGGGAAAAGGTTCTTCCCTGGCTTCATGTGGCAACCAGCAAAGTTCAAAAGCATGGAATAACAAATGCCCTTCACTTTATACTGCAACCTGGGGCCCACTAACAATTAATTCCATGTATTGTGCATGCTGATTGGAGGTCCAGAACTGCCCTTTCTGTCACCTTATCCAGTCACTCATAAGCTTATCCCAGCTGCTTTAATCTTCTTTTAGAACCAAGCCAGGCATGGAGTTCTGCTTCATTTTTCTGCTGCTGACATGGTCCACTCCAATTGCTACCTACTCTGGGCTGCAGGAATTTTCTCACAATCTCTAAGCAATTGGTGTGGGTGGATCCCTTGGGTTTCCAACTGTTGCTTTTCATAGACAGTTCAGGCTTTGCTACTCTTAAAATCATTTGTGGTGAGTGCTTATTCAACCTTTTCTTGCATGCCCCCAATAAAGAATATTCTATAATGGGGGGTGGAAAATACAGCCTGTGGGCCAGTATTATCTGCCTCTGGCTGTCTGTCAAAGATGACATGGCGCCAGTGGCAGTAGGATCCAGAGGAAGTTGTCATCAGGACTGGGGGGGCAGGATCCAGCAGCCACATCAGCAGTCTGTCTGGGCCCACCCCTAGCCAGAAGCATCAGAGGCCTCTGGCCTGGCGACCATGGGGCTTCTGCCTCCTTCCAGAACATTGAGCTAAGAAGGGAGGCAGGGGAGCACCACAGGTGACCACCGGGCCCTTGCTGAGTCCTGTGGTCCCGGCAGTCCAGGTGGGAACTGCGTGGTGCTGGAGTGACTGGCTGGTTGGCGGGGGGGCAGGAAAACAGGGAAATGGTGGCAGGCAGGTGAGTGAGTGGCAGCAAGCGGGCGCGCAGTGACAGCTGGGTGGGAGTGCCGGGCCCATGTCAGTGCCCAGAGCGGGGCGACAAGAGCTCGGGGCCTGGGCAAGCAGGGGCTCTATGAAGCTGGGTCCACTTCCCCCTCTCCCTGCTGGTGCAGCCTGGCCTGGCTCCATACAGCCCCTGCCGGCCCGGGCACCTACTCTAGGCACTGGTGCGGGCCCTGCGCTCCCGCCCAGCTGTCGCTGCACTCCTGCATGTCTGCTCGAGAGAGAGAGCGAGCAATGAATGAGAGAGGGACAGTGTGTGTGTGTATGTGTGCATGCGCACATGTAGTGAGGCAGGGACTGTGTGTGTGTGTGTGTGTGTGTGTGTGTGTGCAGTGAGGCAGGGGGTATGTGCACACATGCATGCGATAAGGCAGGTAAGTGTATGCGTGCGCATGCAGTGAGGCAAGGACTGTGTGTGCGTGTGCATGCACGCATGTAGTGAAGCAGCGACTGTGCACATGCATGCAGTGAGGGAGGAACTGTGCACACGTGCGCATGTAGCAAGGCAAGGTGTGTGTGTGTGTGTGTGTGTGTGTGTGTGTGTGTGTGTGTGCACGCGCACACACATGTAGTGAGGCAGGGAGAGTATGTGTGTGCATGCAGTGAGGGAGGGAGGGGGAGTCTGCAGTGAGGGCGTGGGAGTGTGTGCAGTGAGGGAGGGGAAGTGCATGAGTGCAATGAGGGATGAAGGGAGAATGTGTGTGTGTAATGAGGGAGGGAGGGGAGTATGTGTGCAGTGAGGGAGGGCGTGTGTGTGTGCTTGCAGCGAGGGAGGGAGTCTGTATGCAATGAGGGAGTGGGAGTGTGTGCAATGGAGGGAGTGTGTGTGTGTGTGTGTGTGTTTGCGCAATGAGGGAGGGAGTGTGTGTGTGTGTGTGTGTGTGTGTGTGTGTGTGTACAAAGAGGGAGGGAGACAGCACATGTGTGTTTTGTAGCACCTGCACAACCCACCATACACATGCGCCCACACCCCCGTTGCACTGCCATACATACAGACCCCCACACCACCTCATACACTCCAGCCACCCTCCCTTCAACACAGGCCATAACCCTCCTCAGTCACCCTCCCCCTACACACTCACAGACCTCCACAAACCCCATACCCATCCACACCCCACATGTCCACACACACGTACATACATGCTCCCTCACCCCGCACCATATCCACAGCCCCCCACAAACCTATACCCATCTACCTATACCCCTGCCTTTCCCAAAATACAAGAGTAAGACTTCATTTTAAGCTATTGTGCAAATGCTTCTATGTACACTACACAAACACAAGTAAATCAGGACAACAATATTTTTTTTAAATCAAATTAATTAATGTTGTAGATGTTTGATTTTTAGAATATAATTTGGTATTTTTCTGGGTCCAAGGTAGCAAACCCTCTTGCTAAAAGTAGTACTTCCGGGGGGAAGGGGAAGGACTTCTGGTGGCAAAGGTTGGGGGTTAGGGGGCAAGAGTTCTGGTCTCAAGATAGTGATCAGCAGGTGGGGCATCTGTCAAGGGGTGGGGCTACCCATGTGGCCCTCAACAGCTTGCCAAACTTTGGTAAGTGGCCCTCCAACTGAAATAGTAACTTCCCTAGGCAATCTATTCCACTGCTTTACTCTGTCAGTTTCTTGTTGTCACATTTTCTCAGGAAGCTCCCTATTCTGGCATCCAAATAATTAATAAACATGTTGAACAGCACTGGACCCAGGATTGATCCCTGTGGGGCTATACTTAAAACCTTCTGCCATTCTGACATGGATCCACTTGCTTGCAGCTGATAAACCAGTTGTCTGTCCATGTGTAGTAGTTTGGTCTAGTCCACAGCCCTGCAATTTGTTTACAAGAAGATCATGTGGGACTTTGTAAAGAGCTTTACTGAAGATCAAGTACACTATATCTGCAGCAGCCCCTTTATTTACCTAACTGGCTACTTTGTAGGAGCAGGAAGGAGATCAAATCCTGCACTGCTGGGGAAGTTAACATGCATACCCTAATCTAATCCCTGCAAGAGAGTTTTGGTCAAGAACAGCAGAGACAGTGGTGAACATGAGGGACTGTGCACACTGGCAAAAGGAAAGGATGGGAGAGAGTGGGTACTTGTTTGAATCTTGCTTTGGAGATGCTCAGGGGAGCCTTCTAAAATCAAGTGGAAAAAAATTAACTTCTAAAAATGGAAATTTAAAAATACATTCAAAATTTGTACCCTGTTCTAGGTAAATGGAGCTCAGTCTGGAATTTTTAATATATTAATTGCCACAAATTAAAATCAGCAGTGTCTTTCTGAATATTGTGTTCCCTTGTTGTTCCCACTTCCTTAGTCTACCCTCCTAGTTCCCCGATTTGGCCAGGATCCTTCATGCATTAATGTGATGATCATTGGCATTGCACCTCAGTAAACAGTTAAATCCAGCGATACCCTGAGGGAGAAGCCAAAATGCAATTGTAGTAACAGATGTTCTATTTAATTTGAAACCAAAATAGATAATACACTTAGTAACCACTCCCAAAATAGGACATTCAGACACTGGTAATGTGTGTAGGTCTCAAAGGATTAGTCCTTTTGAAACATTTCTTCAATCCAAAATGCTTCATATGCTTTCACCCAGCCAATTTTGAAAACAAGAAAGCATGTTCACCAGCATGTTCCTGAAGCTTCCCTAATTCAGGCCATAGCAATGGAAGGGAAGGAAAACAGATTTTCAAGCCATCTTGGGAACAGCTCCTGTACAAGCATGCATCTACCTGAGATGTTTTACTTGAGATTAGAGCTAATTACTGCACAGTAAGCGTCACCATCTACATGTGCAGACACTTACTGCATAGTAAGTTGCTCTAATCGCGTGTAAATTTGCTACCTGCAAACACAGGTAGGAAATTTACTTGCTGCACAGTACAGCATGTGTAGACAACTGACTGGGAGCAAATGTGCTCCTGGCAGCGGGTGGTGGGAGATTGCTCCCTGCCCCCAGAAGCTGTCTGCTACTGTGGCAGGCTCTGCCACCAGAGCCTAGGCAGGGACAATCTTCCCTCTGTCCTGGCAGCAGGGAGCTTCCAGCTCTCGCTTTACGATGGGGAACGGAGGTTTGGTGATTCTTATCTCCCAGCTGTAGCTCCATGGTCACAGGGCCAGGGCTGGGAGTTTCTTATCTCCAAAATATCTGGTGGCACCCCAGATTGCCTTGGCACCTTGGTTGAGAATCACGGCTTTAATGTGCCTCATGAGATCTGCATCTTGGAATGGAGAGGGTCTTTGGAAGGAGGCAGCTGTGCAACTGTGCCTCCAGCATGTTGAAGTGCAACGCCCATTTGTTCAGGAGATTCCTTTGACAATAGTAGGCAATGCTGAGAAATGACTATTTTGAGATCCTTATTAAAGCACGGGAGTGTTTAGCAGTGGCATCCCAATTTAACACATACTTGTCCTTTGAGCTGTAACTCCTGAACCGTACAGTCCTTGTATTGGTTAGAATGTATACCATAATATCCAGCTACATTCAGAAATCAGAGCATATGATGCACCAATGGGGGCCAACGTTTCTGGTAGCCATGCCACAGATTAGCCTGCATCCTCCCCAAGAGCCACTTCTGTCCCCCTCCCGTGCCTGATCTGTTGCTCTTTCTGCTTCCAGACACGTGCTCCCTGTCAAATTGCTGCTTTGCTTTCTGCTTCCTGCCCTACCTGCCTCTGTGCTGCCTATCTCTTCACCAGTTTTCTGTGTACCACACACAGAGGTTGCCTTTGCCACTTGTACTGCAGGTTGGCTACCCCTGGGATAGACCAAGCCACACCATCTTTTGATAGTCTTGATGATATTGTACCCTCGCTAATCCCCTTCACCTTCTGTGGGCTGTGACTGTACAGAAAGGATTAGCAGCTAGATTCACCCCCCCCCCCCCCCCCCTTCCCCCCACCCACCCCCCCCAATTCTCCCAAAACCTAAGGTGGGAGAACAGAAGCCAGGTCCTCAGAATCTGAGTGCAGCATTGAAAAATAATCTAAACAACCAGATGACCTGTTCTAACCCTTACCATGTCATTTTTCCATCTTTTACAGAACAGCTAGTGCTGGGAGCCTACAAAGAATTGTCTCGGTTCTGGGATAAGGACTATGACTCCTTTGTGCTGCCATTGCTGGATGAACAGCAACCATGTTACATCCTGTACCGCTTTGATAGTCAGAATGCACAAGGCTTTGAATGGCTCTTCATCTCCTGGTCACCTGATAATTCCCCTGTAAGCTTTTTGTTTCTTTAAATTTACACTCTTTTTCTGGGTTCGATTAATTTTCCTGGTGTCTGTTGAAATATTTGTCAAAGTCATTTGGAGATAAAAGCTCTATGGACTTCGGCTGAGTGTCAGCATTCTTCTTGTAAATTCGATGTGTTCTGGGTATATTTTGTCTTTGAGGTTTTTTTGTTTGTTTGTTTGCTTTTTTTGCTTTTTTTTGTTTTTATGCAAATTCACTTAGTAAAACTAATAGACATGTAATCCAGTGGTTCCTAAACTATAAATCTGGGGACATGGCAAGTTAGTTTATAGATAATACAATGTCTCCAGTACAAAGTAGCTTGATAAAGTTGCATTGTGGTCCATGAGGCTTTGATTAAGGGCAGGGAGGAACCTCACAAGGTCATCTAGTCTAGCCCCCTCCTCAAGGCAGGATTGTCCGTGACTAAACCAAGTGCATGTCCAACCTGCCCTTGAAAACGTCAAAGGATGGAGATTTTCCCAATTTTTTTTAGGTAGACTGTTCTAGAGCTAGACAACCCTAATAGTCCAAAAAGTTTTCCCTAATCTCCAGGCTGAATTTTTGTCTGATGAAGTTAGAGGTCATTGCTCCTAGTCCTGTGTCCCATGGTCACAGTGAAAGGCCCCTCTCCATCCTCCCTATAATCACCTTTCAGGTACTTGAAGACTGTTATCAAATCCTCCCTCAGTCTTCTTAAACTAAATAACCCTTGCTCTTTTAGCCTTTCCTTTTAAGTCTTGCTTCACAGTCCCCTAATCATTTTTGTCGCTCTCTGCTGGACACTTTTCAATCTGTCCACATTTTTCTTGAAGTGTGGGTCCCAAAACTGGAGAGTGAGGTACTCCAGGTGAGGCCTCACCAATGCCAAGTAGAGCAGAAAAATCACTTCCCTTTATTTGCAAGTGACACCCCTGTTTAAGACAACCCAGGCTTTTTCTGCAACAAGAGCACATTGTTGGCTCATATTCAGCTTATGGTCTACTACTGTATCCCCAGGTCCTTCTTTGCAGTAGTGCAGCCTAGCCAGTCATTCCCAGTCTGTATTTGTGCATGTTGTTATTCTGTCTGAAGTGCACAACATTGCACTTGTCCTTGTTGAATCTCATCTTATTGATTGGGGACCATTTTTCCAGTTTCTTCAAGTGGATCCTAGGCCTGCCCCCCCCCCCCCCCCCCCCCCCTCTTCCGTGCCCCCTGAACGTGCCCAGGCGCCCCCCCCCCCCCCCCCCCCTTAGTGTCTGCAGTTCCACCCAAATTGGTGTCATCCCTAAATTTGCTAAGCGTGCACTCAGTCCCATCATCTAAATAATTAATGAAAATATTGCACAGTACCAGACCCAGGACAGACCCCTGGGCAATCCCACTTCATACCTCTTCCCAGCTAGACATTGAGCCACTGATGACTATTTTTTGAGTACAGTGATCCAACAAGTTATGTAACCACCATACAAAATGTTCATCTAGGCCAAGAGTGGGCAAAATATAACTCATGGGCTAGATCTGGCCTGCCAATTGATTGGATCTGGTTTGCAGCAGGTGCCTGCCAATTGATTTGATTTAGGCCTGTGGTTGCCCCTGCCATGCTCTGCATGGGGTCAAGTCCAGCCTGGGGCAACTCGTGCTGTGCTGTGCTCTCAGTCCAGCCCCATCGCACACAGCTTCAGGTGGGCCTGCTCCCATTGCGGTTGCAGCCACCTGGATTCTTCTCCGCTCTTCCCTCCAATGGTTCCTCCTCCTGCTGTTCCATTCCTGGCCGGGAGGACGCTTCAGCCAGGCAGCTCCTGCCCTAGTGTGCAGGGCTCTGGCTCCAGCTCCCACCTGCCTTCCACCCGCTCTGCCGTCCTCTGCCAGAACACAGCTGTGCTCTCTTAATGGAGCCGAAGAACACTCCTGTCCAGCATGCAAAGTCTTTGGGGGATTCACAAAGTTTCCCTTTGCAGATAACCTTCTGCTGCCAGTGACCCCTGTGGGGCACAAGATAGCAATCAGAGCCAGCTGCTCTGCCAGATGCCTGGAAGGGGGGAGGTATTGTTAGTTTCACATCGACCCCTCTATAACACACATGGTGCAAAAGGGACCCGATCGAGTCTGAGCTGGAAGGAACCAGGCAGAGAGAAAGTCAGGACTCAGAGGTGCGTGAAATCAATCCACCCACCCTCCCAGCAGGTGTCAGTGCAAAACTGACAGTACCTCTGCCCTTCACTCATTCCCCCCACCCAAGTCGTCTTGCACCCTGCAGGGGTCACTGGCAATACTAGGTTACCTGCAAAGGGAAACTGTGAATCTTCCAAAGGCTTTGAAAACTGGATGGGCTCTTCCTTCGGCTCCATGTAGAGAGCAAGGTTGGGTTCCGGCTTAAGTGGGTGGAGTGAGTAGAAGGTAGCTGGGAGCTGGAGCCAGAGCCCTGCACACTGGGCTGGAGTTGCTCGGCTGAAGCTTCCTCCCAGCCAGGAGCAGGAGCAGAAGGAGCAGTTGCTGGAGGTGAGGGGAGCAGAGCAGCACCCAGGTAGCTGCAGCTGCACCAGGAGCAGCCCCACCGGAAGCTGTGTGCATTGACTGGGGTCAGGCCGGTGGGCGCAGGCTGGAGTATGGTGTGGAGCAGCCAGGGATCAGCCCCATGCAGAGCACCACTGTGGATGAGACTGGCTGAGTGAGCTCTGTTACATGCACTCCCTTGCCCCCTCCTGCCTCTCCTCATCCCTGGCCAGCTTTCAGGACCTAACGCCCAGGCAGCTCCCCACACCTACACCCCCCCCCCCCCAAACAGGGCAGGGGCCACTGCATGACCCCAACCCTTGATCCGGGTCTCTCCTGCCTATCTCTCTTCTGAACATCACTTCCCTCCTGCCTGCATCCCCATCCCACAGAGAAAGTTTTGGTGGGCTGTTGCAGAGGCGGTGGGGAGGGGTAGTGCTGACCTGGCCCACGACAACTCATCAAAATTCCCTATGTTGGCCCTGGGCCCAAATAATTGACCACCCCAATCTTGTCTTTATTTCATTAGCTTGTTAATGAGACTGTTGTGGAAGACAGTGTCGAAGCTTTGCTAAAGTCAAAGTATGTCACATTCAGTGCTCTCCCCCTATCCACAGAGCCTGCTGCCTTATCATAGAAAAAAATCAGGTTGCCTAGTGACTTGCTCTTAGTGAATCCATGCTGGCTGTACCTGATCTGATAGGTGCTTCACTGCAGATTCTAGGACTTGTTGGCTGATCTTTCCAGGCAACTTATGTTGACTTGTCTGTAATTCCCTGGATCTTTCTTCCTTTTCTTAAAAAAAAAAAATGAAACTGTTTTCCCTTTTCCATTCATCCAGGACCTCATCTGACCTCTTTATGTTCTCAAAGGTAGTCAGTAGCCCTAGGATTACCTCTGCAAATTTCTTCAGTACCTAGGGTGCATCCCATTCAGCTCTGCTGATCTGAAAGCATGAGGCATCTCTAAGTAACCTCTAACCTGTTCTTTTATTATTCTAGGCTGTTTGTCTCCTTCCTTATCTTTGCTTCCAACTGCACCCTGTTCGTGAAAATTGAATTAAAAAAGGCATTAAATACACCAATCTTCTCTGTATCATCCTTAATTAGATTACCTTCTGCATTCTGTGAGGGACCTATGGTTTCTTTGGTCTTCTCCTTACTTTAGACATACTTGCAGAATCCCTTTTTATTGCCTTTTATGTCCCTCATCAGTTGTATCTCAAATTATGCTTTGACCTTCTTAATTTTCCCCTTACATGCCAGTGTTACCCTTATACTCTGGGAGCCGCACTCTGGTTGTGCCGTGTCTTCTGCCCACCCGGTGGCAGGAGGTACAGCATGGCATTACGTGGCTTCCAGGGCAAAGGCAGCAATGCGCAGAGGCTCAGCCTGCAGCGTACAGCCTGCCTCTGCTCCATGCATAAATCTGAGGGTCACATGCCTTCCTCAGGGGTTTGTGCAGCAGCAGGGAACCCCCCCCCTACCAAGCCCCTGGATGAGCCACCTGTGGCTCTGTCCCACTCTTTGCCCCCACCCCGGGGTCCCATTCACCCCAGCCCCTGCCTCACTCCCTCCCTCCCTCACCATGGGAGCCTTGATCTGAACCTCCCCCCCCGGCCCTACTCCTTCCCTCTTCTCCTGCCCTTCTCCTCCAAAGACTTACTTGCTGGGCACTGCTCTGCTCTACATGCCACTAGACTGCATTCCTGGCCACGTGCATGCTGTGGCTGCATGCCTGCTCACAGCATCTTGATATGGCACTGATATATTGGTGCACCTCTAGTTTGTGGGGGAGTGTGGTCCCCCTTCTCACCTTCCTGCTGCAGCTGCCTGGACCCTGCACCTGGGCTGCCCTGTGGCTCCTCTGCACTGCTACCGCTGCCCCACTGGTCAGCCCAGAAGCAGTAGTGATGGTGGTGGAGAGGAGCTGCAGGGCAGCCCGGGCATGGGCTCCAAAACCATGTTCATGATTAATGTGTTAAGAAGAATAACATGTTAATTGGTTCTTGCGTTAATTGTGCACATTAATGCCAATTAATTGACAGCCCTCATTTGTATAATGTAATAGTCAGCTGGATCTCCTCTGAGGTAAAGTGTGGCTGCTATTCAACAGCCTACAGTAAAACTACATAATGAATTCTGAGAAGAAGTGTCACTAAACCTGTGCTAGAATTCAGTGAAGTGTAATGTAATGATCTAAGATGAAACTTGGCAAAGGTAGTGAATTTAACATCCCTAACCAGAAGTGCTCAAGGCCCAGTTTCCATGTTTCCATTTAAAAGGTACCATTCTGAGTGGTTATTTCTGCCACTTTGTTTGGGTGTTGATTCAGTGCTGACTTGGAGGAAAAATGTTTTGCCAACAGAATCATGAATCTCTTAGTTATGACCCATTTTGGTTCTGCTTTCTTTGAGATCTGACATACCAATGTGCAAGCTGGGCTCCCACAAAGCCAGCTCCACTCTCAGCAACCTATTGGATCATTAAGTCTTATGATTCTATAAACT